TGCTAAAAATCATTAAGGACAGCACTACTGCCTTCTAAAACCTGCTAAAAAAAAAAAATTTAACAAAAAATAAGGCCGGAGGAGAAGCACTGATTTGCTTTCCTTTAATTTTTCTTTTAGAATTATTCTTTAAATGAAGAACAGTTTAAAAATCAGCAAATGGGAGAGAGAGAGAGAGAACAGGGATGCACAATAAAATGAAAAATATAAAAGATTGGACATTTCCGTGAAATAGTTCATGAAATTTCACAAAGTTGTAAAAAATATGAGACAAATTTTCAGGGAATGGGTATGCAACAGTTGCAACAAGCTCTGAAAAACACCATGAAGTAAAAACCATTTGCCTTCCATTTAATTTTGCATTTATTTAATTTCGACAAATATTTTTCAACGTACCTCGTGTTTTCCTGAAATTTCATGAAATATTTCACATGAAACTTGAACCGCGCTAGGCAGAAAGGAACCGACCCATACTGCCAAATTTAAAGAGGCAATTTATTTTGTTACAAAAAAAAAACGGTTGTGCGGACTTTCGTGCAAATTTTGGCGAATCTTCTGTCCAGCACGAAGCAAATTCCTTAGAAATGTCAAAAGAACCGCACAAACCTTCTCTTATAAAAAATTAAATTACCCGGTTAGATTTGGCAATAGCTGATGTGGCTTGGTTCCTTTCGGCTAAACGCAGTTCATTTAAAGTCTTCATTCTTCATGGAAAATTGCAACCCCGGGAGAGAGGGATTCCATTTAAAAGCATAACATAAATTTCAACGAGAGAACAAAAAGAAAGACTCAACAATATCACAAGTTCCGCGAGATCGGGCGAGGAGGATATCAGCTGCGGAGAACACAGTGAGCTCCGTTCCTGACGGCCTCGGAGGTGAGGAGCGCCTTCCACTCGCTCAGCCGTGGCGCGCAGACCAGCTTGTAGTCTCCCAGCCTTTTGCGGGCCATGAAGATGAACTGGCCACCGTCGGAGGGTTTTATCCGGCAGTGGGCCGCCACTTGGATCAGCACTTTCTCGTCCTCTTCTCCTCCGTCGATCGAGTTGGGGTGGTCCCTTCGGGCCGGGTAGTTCCTCTCGGTGACGTCAGGGGGCGCTTCCAGGGGGTGCCCTTCGTCGGTGTCCACCATGGAGCGCCGCAGGTACTTCGCCACCCTCACGCTCATCTCGGACACCTCTAGCTCGTACTTGTTCTCGATTAGACCGATCCAACCGTTCACAACTGCAACAAACAACAAAATGCATTCAAACCGATATTCCTTCATGGCGGGTTCTTCATATCTATGGCCAAAGTGCAAAAACACGTATCTCCATTGGCAACGTTGCATCACTTCTTATCATACTAAATTTTTTCTTGGGAAAACTAGTCAACACTGAAAAAAACGTTGGTCATCTGTATGCGAAGAAAATTGAGACGATTCGAGAGGTTGAACGGCCAGTTACGGGTATGATACGATGAGTTCCTCCCAGCGATGTCCATTATTCTGCCGTGCTAAGGAAGAACGCCGTATGAACATTCGAGAGTTGCCAAATTTCCTTCGATAAAATGTTTATTTTGAATTTTGAATTTATGTTTATGAGGAAAGTTATGAATATATTTCCTTGAGATGTTCAGGAGCTTTAGATCAAAATACGAACAAAATTATCTGAGAGATTGGCAGAAAAAAGTTCAGAACTTTACCTGAAAATTAATGATTTGCCAGAGGAAATTTGGCAACGCCTAAAGGCTCATACGGCGTTCTTCCTTAGCATGGCAGTGTTGTCCATTCCCTCTCAAAGCGTTCGAGGTGTTCCCTCCCCCTCCTGAGACAACCCAATGACTCCTTGCCGCAGCTTCAGAATATTTTGAGGGCTATAATTCCTGACGCGTGAGATATAGAAAATGTTGTATAAATCATTGAGACGAAAAAAATAGCAGTGCTCAGCGGCAGTGTTGTAACAACTTGAACTCGTGGTAGTGATCGATACCTTGATTTTTCCAAAAATATCACTCAACTTTTTTATTCACACCACTCTTATATGAATGTTTTGTCGAAATCAAAGTCCAATTACGTCAGGCCTGAGCCCCCCAAAAAAGCAAAATATTACGGTTAGGAATATATCCTAATTGGACTGCATTTTGCAATTTGCAACTATAAATTCTGGCTCATCTGAAAAAACACGTATGTGCATAGGGAAACTAATGGCAAATACGTTGTTTTTAAACCGGGCCGGAATTTATACTTCCTAATTGCAAAATGTAGTCCAATTTTCTTGTTGCAAAAAGTTCCAAAGTTGCCGAGAATCCGAGGCAGAATATGTAAATTGCTGGAACAATTACAAGAGAAACCTGAAAATGTATGAGAACTTACCTAAATCACTTGAGCAAAAAGCTTGAGTTAATTCCTCGTTGGAGCAAGGTTTGCAATCTGAAACAAACAAGATGACTTGATGAGTTTTTCTCAGATTGGACAGATATTTGGATGAAAAGATACATACATGTAAATCCGAGATTTTCGATCCCTACATGAAAAAGAAGGAATTGTAGCTATCCTAGTGGATACTGGTGGTAGTCTTGGTGGATGAAAGGGTGGCTCAATCTAAAATTCTTGTTTCACGGACTTAAAATGTTATTTTTGTGGTCACAATGAGTTACTCAGCTCATTTTCTTTAACTGCATTATTAGTTGGTGCTAAGTGGACTCTGGACTGAGCTGAAAAGTTACATCATTCTCCTATTCTTCCTCTGTCGGAGACGGCAACCGGGAGAATTCATTCAAAATTGTAAAAATTAGAAAAACGGAATTTTATTAGTTTGGGTAACCGCCGTTTTAGCTCTTTCGAGGAATAATTCGGTTTCTTGAAAATTAAATTTCAGTTACTTGAGGCGAAAAAGTTCGGTGTTCAACAGGGCCGGATTTAGGGGGTGGCCACATGTGCCGCGGCCCATGGCGGCAAATTTTGCAATGTTTTTAAATGTAGTTATAAGGAAAAATCGGATTCAGAAAAAATATTATCAATGAGAAAAGGGGACAAAAAATCTCTTTCCTGAGAGTATAGTAATTTCGAATTTTTTCGTTTTTCGGTGATACAAGAGACAGCATTTTTAATTAGTCGAGTTAAGAGAGAAACCGAACACGGAATTTGGCCTGGAACAGCTCGGCGCAGAGAGGAATGATGACGAGGACTTGAAATGAAAAGGACAAGTCCTCGGCGCGGCGCGGCGGTCGGCATGCAACACATATTAGCGCCTACAAGACTGCATGGATACTTCACGCATTGCGTCACAGACAGTACGGTCGCTGAGGTCAGCAGCGGGCGGCGTGAAACGCATAGCGCCTACAAGACTGTAGGAATACTTCACGCATTGCGTCAAACACAGTGCGTGCAGCAGCGATCGACGTAAAACGCATAGCGCCTACAAGACTGCAGGAATACTTCACACATTGCGCCAAACACAGTGCGGTTAGCGCGGCGCGGCGGTGGAAGTTGAAATTACTAAACCACATTTATGTTTGTTCTTTCATAATTTGTTCGTTCATTTCATATAAATGGAAGGCTTTGTCCACACAGAGACAGATTTACGGAACTTAAAATTCGCGCAAAGTTCTATTAACTTTTGCTAGTAGTGTTGACAGGGCTTTCGCAAAAAATGTTTCCAACACGAGCAAAAGCGTCTTATGCACCCTTGCCCCTACGGCAGGTTCACTCGATAGTTTTTATTGATGTTTCAAAAAGAATGATATAAATGCGGCAAAATGCAGGCGGCCCATGGGCGGCAACTAAGTAAATCCGGCCCTGGTGTTCAATACGAATCGAAGTTCACCACACTGAAAAAAAAAACTCCGGCTGTGGAAGCCGTATTTACAAGCTTTATAGCCATCCATCCGAGTTCCGGGATCAGAGGCTGAAAGTTCCGGCACCGGGAGCAATCGAAGCTACGGCTCCAGCACCCAGAACTTTCGGCCTCTGAGCCCGGAACGGACGGTATGTGTACATAGTCCGTAAATTTTTTTTTCAGTGTACCTGTTACCGAACTCTTTTTCTCACTGTGGATCGGCTGAAATGCACCTTGAGAATGAATGGAGAATTTGCACGCAATTTCTTATCGCTTCATCTGAGAGTGCTTAAAGAGCTTATTTCGCGGTATTATTCAGAATTTTGTTCTGATATTGGAAACAGTATAAAAACAGATTTCAAATTGAGAAAATGCACCGCCTAATGACATCATTTGGCGGCATTTCCCATTTAAACACACGTACAAATATATTCGCATATTCGGTACTTTCATTTTATCTCCTACAATAATAATTGCCCAATTTATGAACCGAGGGTATTCTCGTATTCAGTTCAATCAGTTGTTTCCACTCAGAAACGAAACTCGCCAGATTCCAGACACCTGCAAATTCTCCATTGTATGAGCCACGATCCCTTTTTGTTCGCTTAGTTATAGGTGCGTCCTTTTAGTAAAAGTCTCATTGTTCTAATGTTTTCAAGCGATACCGATCGCCGGCATCACTACTCGAGCGCCAAAGTAAAAATCCTCGGATTCGGAATCGACATAAATTTGATCCTTAACCGAGACGTAGCACCCGGAGCAGTCGAAGCTACGGCTCCAGCACCTGGAACTTTCGGCCTTTGAGTCCGGAACGGACGGTATGTCTTTGTCTATACAGACCGTAACATTTCTTTTTCGTGTACCAGTTACCGAACTTTTTTTCTCACTGTGGATGAGCTGAACCGGACCTTGAGAATAAATTGCATGAGCCACGATCCCTTTTTGTTCGCTTAGTTGAGAAACTAGCTTAAAACTGAGAAAATGCACCGCCTAATGACGTTATCTGGCAGCATTTCCCATTTAAACACGTGTATATTCGCAGATTCGGTAATTTCATCATATCTCCTTCAGTAAATGCTCAATTTATGAACCAAGGGTGTTCTCGTATTCAGTTCAATTAGTTGTTTCCACTCAGAAACGAAACTCACCAGCAACGAAACTCGCCAGATTCCAGACACCTGCANGACGTCGCACGGAGGGCCAGCAGCCGAGTTTAGCCGGACAAAAGTCTTCAGAGGCGCCTGAACTTACTAATATGAGAGAATGTATGTTTTAAAGGGTAATTTAGGTCGCTGAATCCATATTTTGGGTTTTTTTAAAGAAATTTTGAAGTTTTTGATGAGAATTATTAAAAAAAATTGCTTTATCAACGGGTAATTAATAGCAATTTTTCACTCAAATCTTCAGAGGTACCTGAGTTTGTTTTGTGTGAAGAAATTGGTTTCTGAGGATTATTTTGGTGAGTAAATTACAGTTTTGCTTTCTTTGTTCAACATTTTTCAGTTTACAATTCAAAAAATTTGAAAAATGATGATTTATCTATGGGTAATATATGGGAATATATGTCACGTATTTTTCAGCAGAATTAGCATTGCATCTCATCTCGCCCAACGAAAATATTCATAGCTCAGAAAATTGCCGAAAACTGCAAGTGAACCAAAGAAATTCTCAAGTTTCAGAGTATGCTTTTACTTAAAATTGACCATTTGAATCCTTCAGCCATGTCCAGAAAATTCAGGAGTCGTCTGCATGTCGCGTATTTTTTGGCGGAACCAATGTAATTTTTTGGCGGAACCAATGTAAATATTGCCTTGAAGAATGCACTTCTTTTGCCAGAATTAGAAGATAGAAAGACAAAGCCGGAATAAAACCTTGAATTAGAAAATTTTATTCAGAATCAGTCATATTTTAACCCTAGAAGTCGGGGCCGCAATCGTATGGACATTGGACATCTATAATAACAATATAAGTAGATTAGCATAGGATAGCGCCATTATACGGCATGCTTGCAATTTGGCAACACTGCCTTTCATCCATATGAACACATCTACGATAGAATCGATATATATCGAAAATCCTAACCTAGAATCGATTTTCGTTAATGTATTTACATTGAGAAAGAGCATTGATGCCAACATGCAAGAATCGCCAATGCCTGGCACGTGAGTGATCTAATATAGGAAATTAGCATAAAATCCTCGATCTTGCGTTACAAAAAAATTCATAACTCACGGTAAGGCAAGAGAAGGCAAATGAACCAATGAAAATTTAGATGCTTAGGATGTACTGAGCCACATGGTAGCGGTCCGTAACCTTACAGATCTTTACAGAAAATTGCAGACCACTTTAAACCTAAAAATTAGGCCATTTTCATGCCCAGTTTTTAATTTTGTGTACCTAACAATACAATGCACAAAATTGATAAAAATACCTTAAAGTAAAATGAAAACATGTTAATCTAACTTGGTAAAACAATCGCCATGTTGGGAAACACTCGAAGATTTGTGGAACATAACATTTTGGATGAGCGTTGAACCAAGCCAGCATAGAGGATAAATAAACACACCACGCGCGCTCGGGAGAATCTTGGCATCGCAGTCTTATTAGTGATAAGACCCCCAAACCCAGTGATGTACAGATACTCCATGTTATACCTTATCGCTCAGTGGTGTCTATTTTCGAATTTTCTGGACACGCCAAAATGGACTTTTGTCCGGCTAAATTCGATTCCTGGCCCTCTGTGCGTCGCCTCGCGTCGCGTCGGCCGCGGTCAGCGTACAATTGGATACTTGTGCAGAACATAATATCCTTTGTGTAGGCAACACTTAACACATGCCACGATTTCCCTCGCGTCCTGCCCGGCCTCCGCGTCCACCGCTCTGATTCCCCGCGAGAAAGAGGGAGAGAGGACGAGAAAAAAAGGACACCCCCTTTGCCCCCCCCTCTCGCCCCCCGTGTTAAACAAAATGCTCCGTGAAGGCGTCGGGGACCGAGACCCGAGGGCCCCGGCTCGATCTCGGGGGCCCTCTTGCATCCATCACCAGGGTTACGCTGCGGTGCTAAGGGAGAACGCCGTATCGACATTCGAATGTTGCCAAGTCTCCCTCAATAAAAAGGGTATTTACGAGAATAATCATGAATATTTTCCCCTGAAATTTTTCAGAGAATTTAGATCAAATTGGGAATGGAGATGTTGCATGTGTGAGAGATTTGCAATTTGACCATTGATTCTGATGTAAAAGTTCGCGAGAAACCCAAGCTCCCAATCTCCCAAGCTCAAAAAAAGCTCTCGAAGTGAGGTCAAAATGGAGGGGATATCCTACCCTGAGAGTCCACCTCTACATCAAGACGAACTCTCCATGCAAAGATAGGGAGCAAATACATTAGCAGGGTTGCCACTTTATTTGGGGACTCCAAAACTGAAAACACGGCAACCCTGCTAATGTATTTGCTCCCTATCTTTGCATGGAGAGTTTGTTTTGATGTAGAGGTGTAGGGGTAGGGTCTCAGGGTAGGGTGAGATATCTCCTCCATATTGGCCTCACTTTCAGAGCTTTTTTGAGCTGGGGAGATGATTTCAGAGAAAACCAGTGGCACCATCGTGTTTCTCGCGAACTTCTACATAAGAATCAATGGTCAAATCGCAAATTCCTCACACATGCAACATCTCCATTCCGAGGCAAATTGTCTGAAAAATTGAGAGGAAATTATACACACGTTTCCCGGAAAATTCGGATTTTATTAAAGGAAATTTGGCAATGTTAGAAAGCTCTTACGATGTTTTTTCTCACCACGGCAGTACGCAGGTTGGTGCAGCGACGTAGTGAATGGCGTCTGAACACCTGTCAGCAGAGATGTAAAATGAGGCTTTTGAAAGGTCTATTATCATTCAAAAACTTTGAATCCATCTCTTTCACTATTGAAACATTTGTAAACGTGTAAACGAGGAGAGGGGATATAAATTTGTGTTCGGATTATTTTAATTTTATATTATTCATTTACTTTTTTTTATTTTCTCTTCTTTTTTTCAAGGATACTAATTTTGTCCAATCAGACCGAAAAATTGGTGTTCGATTTTATATGAAGCTCAAAGCCCTCAATCAACACTATTACGCAACTGGTATGGTACATTATCTTACGTATGGGCATTGGGAAGGGAACATATTTGCCGACTTCAGCCATAAGCATGCAAAAGAAATAGCCATCAAGGGGGTGTAGATGCGTGTGGGGTCGGTGCTTGAAGTTATTATTCACGTGCATTCCGCCTTACGACACTCCCTGGCCATCTACGACCCTGACCAACAACTACTCCCAGTCGAACCAACCCTTCGGGCATCGAGCACTACAGTTACCATTATATAAGAGCTGAAAGAATAAAACTTGATAAAAAAAAAAGAAAAAAATATCTATTAAAATAATACACAAAAATAGCCAGAATAATTTAACGAAACATTAACACAAGAAATTGAGTTGCCAAGGCTAAAAGTGAGGAAACATAATACCTGGGACGTTTCGGGTTGGTTTCAACCCTCTCCTCGCCCAGGAAACAATAACTTTGAAGAATATAAAAATTTAAAAAAAACCCTCAGGCTCTTTCCCGTGATAACGGAAAGGAAATCGTTACCACGATCGGGGGTCAGAGGGTTTTTTCAATTTTTATAATTTTTGTCTCCTGGTCGAGGTGGGGGTTGAAACCACCCCGAAACGTCCCGGACATTTTGTTCGTTTGTTTTCAGTCTTGGTTGCCCATTTCCCTGTGTTTATGTTTCGTATTGAAAAAATCGTCGCCTGCCTGACATGGGAGCGTAACTACAATCAGCAATGAACCCTGTTGTCCATACAATTCAATGCTTTTCCGGGCTCATCTCAATATGTCGTTACGCCCTTATGTCAGTCGGGCGACGAAATAACTAGATAACGAAAGAGATAACTCACCGTCAGTGATATCATAGACGGATCCGCCCGGATGCCGCTTGGACAGTGGCTCCAGGTCATAGGAGAAGGCAGCCATTTGTTTCGGGAACATCTTAACGGGGCCCTCGCCGACCTCAGATTCGACGTAGATGGCCGCCTGAGCGTGGGAGGAGTGGAAGCAGCGGACGAGCCTGGGGTCGGCGCCGTCGTCGGGGGTGAAGAGGGGCGTCAGGGAGCGGGGCCCCTCGAGGAAGAGCCGGGCGCCGGCGAAGGAGGGCGCCACCTTGATGCACCCGCGGAAGTCGCGCCCCGTCGAGCCCAGCCGGAGCAGGACGCGGAGGGCGCCGCGAGGGTAGGACCACGAGATCGCCCCTTCGGAGCATCGCAGGTAGACCGGCGTCACGCCCCGCCCGCCACCGCTTTTCCCGCCTCCTGGTAGACCACTGAAACAGAAACAAATACAAATGTTCAATGAGATTTGGGGAAAACTTATTGCCATGCATTTCTCCGCGAACTGTCAGGAGACCTTTCCCGGTGAAGTTGGAAGACATCACACTGGAAAAAAAAACACATTGCATCTAGAGTCCAGACTCTTGAAAACATTGGCAAGAAAAAATACTCTCGATTCAATCAGATTTTTGCTTAAATCAAGAACCAAGCCTCTTAATTTGAGCGGATTTCCCTCTGATTTAAGCTTAAATCTGATTGAATTAAGAGTATTTTTTCTTGTCTATGTTTTCAAGAGTCTGGACTCTGGATCCAATGTGTTTTTTTCCAGTGATCATCAGACAGAACGCCTTCATTCGATGAATGGAGAGTTGGTATGCACATTTTGTATTGCTTCATCTGAAAATGCTTAGAGAGCTGATTTTACAGTATTTTTTATAATATCGTTCTGTTATGGGAAATAGTATAAAATAGATTTAAAAGTGAGAAAATGCATCGCCTAGTGACGTCATCTGGCGGCATCTCCCATTTAAACATTCGTATTATGGCAGAATAGATAATTTTGTCACAATATCTTCTCCAATAATTGTTCAATTCATGAACCAAAGATATCCTCGTGCTCAGTTCACTCAGTAGTTTCCGCGAATACTTAAACACGAAATGTTTTCTTGTATCGACGAAGATACAAACTTTGAAGTTTCCATATTTTGTCCCTCTTTCCCACCGACTAGCTCCACTGTGCGTCGCAACGATGTCGAGCAAACGCTAAAAAGGAGAGACGGGTCGCGTTGGTTTCTCTACTTCAGGTAAGCTTTGCCCGCTGTCGCTTCCGCATCTCTGGCTCTGGCGGATCGTGCAAATGGAGGTTCAGCAACATCCCGGGTATTGCCACTGAAACTGGTCAATCTTTCGTGAAAGGACTCTGCATGGAAAACCAAGAATTCTGAAGGCCTAGGATCATCACTTATTTGATTTGATATTCTTTACAGCCTTCCGAATATTCCGCGCGCTCAATTCTTCAGATTGAACTTCATATCGCGCCAAGGAGTGTATAGATAGATAGATGGATAAATGGATGGATGGGTAGGTGGATAGGTGGGTAGGTGGATAGGTGGGTAGGTGGATAGGTGGATAGGTGGAGAGGTGGCTAGGTGGATAGGTGGATAGGTGGATAGGTGGATAGGTGGATAGGTGGATAGGTGGGATAGGAGGATAGGTGGATAGGTGGATAGGTGGATAGATGCATAGATAGATAGATACATAGATACATAGATAGAAACTAACTAACTGGATAGATAGATAGATAGATAGATATATAGATGGATAGTTAAAGAAGTGAACGGAAGATCCCGTGTAAGTAGATTTCTTCAGATGATTTTTTGACGAAGAGTCTTGACGTATAAGAAACGCCTTCATTGGGAGAAAATACTTCCTAGCATGATCAGGGCCGAATTAAGGGGGTGGCCACATGGGCCGCGGCCCGTGGCGGCAAATTTTGCAATTTTTTTAAATGTAGGTATAAGAAGAAAATCGGATTCAGAAAACAAAATTACAAACGAGAAAAGGCGGCAAAATCTCTCATTTCCTGAGAGTATAGTAATTTCCCCATTTGTCGTCTTTCGGTGAGACAAGAGACAGCACTCTTAATTAGTCGAGTTAAGACAGAAACAAAACACGCAATTTGACATGGAGCGGTGCGGCGCAGAGAGCAATAATGACGAGGACAAGATATGAAAAGGAGAAACCCTCAGCGCGGCGGCGGTTGGCATGTAACATATTAGCACCTACGAGACTGTATGAATACTTCACGCATTGCGTCAAACACGGTGCGGTCAGCAGCGGCCGACGTGAAACGCATAGCGCCTACAAGATTGCATGAATACTTCATGCATTACGTCAAAAACAGTGCGGTCAGCGTGAAACGCATGGTGCCTACTAGACCTCATAAATACTTCACGCGTTGCGTCAAACACAGTGCGGTCAGTGCAGCGCCGCGCCGCGCCGGCGGAAGTTAAAACTATTAAACCACATTTATGTCTGTTCTTGCATAATTTTTACGTTCATTTAGTACAAATGGATAAGGTCTTGTTTTCGCGACTACTGAAGAAGCGGCACACAAGCGGCTGTTCTCTCCCTTCATAGATTATACTCGATATTAATTTCCGTATCTATTGCGTATGCACTTAAAACATATCCGTTATTTTATCAACGATGAGATCATATACCTCAGTCAGTGAACATGTCTTAGGACATCAGGAATCAGTGACAGAGGAGAAGATAGCTTTGCATTATCTTGCGCTCCAATTTCGAATTCACATAATGGGTCACAACGTATCACACACTGCCCGACAATTTTATCATCCCCTCTCCTTTCCATAGACACAGTTCACGGAGTCAATTGATAAAAGCTCCGTTTCAATATAACGAGAACATTCATTTGTCAGGTTCGGGTTCCCACGCCAAGGGACTCGACGTAAAATCCACGCACAGATTGCGGAACAGCTAGGTGAATAAGAAACCGTGTGAAAATATTTTATCATGATTCAAGACCTTTGTTTTCAATTTCTAAAACGGAAAAAGAGACATGGTTCGAAAGGAGTTTCTTGCGAACTCGTGGGGTTTAATTTGGAGATAATATTTCTAAAAATGTTGACCTTTGAGAAACTATGTTGCGTTCAAGCCATTTTTGATTCAGGGTGATTATAGACGACGATATTTGTTTTCTTTTGTGCTCTTTCACCCTTTCATTCAAGTATTTTGACGATGATCACGTTGGTGATCTTGAAATAAGTTGAAGTATGGGCTCGCTGGCTCAAGATTTTAGAGGGAAGGAAGGGTGTCGAAAAGAGGTATGGGAGCCCATCTCGGAAAAGGGCAACCGGAAGGAAGAGAAACTCTAGGACTTAAGGCTAACCCCAGTGAAATCATATACTTAGGCATATTTTTGTACATTATTCAAAAAATATTACAGAAAATGTAGCACTGAAGCCAACATTTCATCCATTGTGATCAAAGCAAATGTATGTGACTCTAATGCCTTGAAACTTTACTGAATATTCTTTATGATTTTCGAATGCTCTAAATGAGAAATATCCTAGGAAAGCTGCTCAATTACATTCTTTGTAACATATTAATTAACAGTAAGAATCCATGAACTGTAAATCCCCCTCCATTGACAGGGTTGCCAGAGAATTTAGAAATTGGAATTCCCTGGCGATTGAGGATATGCCAGATGCTTAAAAATACATGATTTGAAATAGATTTCAGGCAAAATTTGTCGTTCAAAACGTTGAACCCATTCTAGAAGGGAATAAAGGTGATTTGACGATTTCACCCTGACACTTTCGTCATTTTCCCCGATATTTCCAGGCTTTCCTTGACTTTAGAAAATTCCCTGAAATTTCCCGGTTTTCCCTGACTAGGGCACCCCTGATTCGTAGGACGAAAAAGAGACGTTGCCAGTTCCCTGGGCTAGGTTGCGCGGGCGCGAAGATCAAGGCCACGGTTAAATCCAATTCATCAGTAGCGCATCGTTTCACTGGAGGTTACTTTTCATAACGCGAGAATGATGAATGCTTGGTCAAACACCATCTTCTCTGCGAGTCCCAGCCGAGCGACGCGACGCACAACGCAACGGCTCCACAAATTAATTAAGAGCTGCTGCTACCTAATTAAAATCCATTGTTTTCTATCATTAACAACTGTGACGCCTTAGGGTATTTCAGGCCGCCATTTGTACTCTTGCGGGCGCTTTTTAAAAACTGTTCGCCGTTCTCTTCAAGTCCGGGTCGTTTCGATAAATCAAACCAACTGTCTACGCTTTAGAGCGTCGCCTCTCGAACGTAAGGGCGTATCTTGATGAGCTCCGGAAAGCATAGCGTTATACGGAGAACAGGGCTCACATATCGCCCAGTGGACTGAATCAATGGAACATTAATTTTTTTACTAAAACTGCAAATTTGGATGTTTATTTCGTGAGATTTCAAAGTTTCAAGGGTACTGCCTGTAGTAAATTTGACGAGAAAACCAATGGCACCGCTTTTAATACCTCCACGTTTTGTAATAATGGAGTTAGGAGCTTTTAAAGTTTTAAAATTTTGTCCGACTTTTCTCATTGACTCGTTCCATTGTGCGTCAGAAGAGCGACGCAATCGTCAGCAGTAAGGGTTAAAAATTTAAGGCCAAAAATGTTCTGTTTTTGTTTTAAAAAAATCATAAGGTTGCGTTGTAAGGGTAGAGAGATTAGAACCTATGCGTTTCAAGACGAAAGTCGTGGATAATACCACATTCCCGCAATGAATTTCCAAAGTCATCATTGCAGCATTAAGTACCCTCGCGACGGGAAAAGGATTTGTAGATCCTTTTGACAAGATATCTTTGTTTCTTGGTTTTAGCAACGTAATCCCTCCCACCGTTAGTAATTTTGGTTTCGTTCCAATATCGGATAGCGTGCGGCGGTACAAATGGACGTATTTATGCTAAAAGGAACTATGTTAGACGCAAGCCCTATGCACATAGTTCCTTTTAGCATAAAGACGTTCAAATGAAGCTATGAGGACTCAAAAGCGGTGATCCCAAGTGTTACGGATTTCGATCGCCCTGCTCGTCCCGACCAGCGATTAAATTGAAAGGCGGGTAAAGTGGGTTCATCAGTCATTATTTTTGAAGTTTCTTTGCGGCGAGGCTACCTAAAGACCTCGCGAGGAGAGGAAAATATTGAGAAAACAAATTTTGGTCCAACAAAGGGCCAAAGAAAGCACGAAAGAAAGCAAGCATGGGGCGAGGAGACATAATTACTCGCCGCCAGCCAAAAAAATCATCAATCGATTTTTTTAAGGCTCAGTGTTTCATTTTTCTTTGTGCTCTCCTTTTCTCCGGCTGTTCCGCCCTTGGCTCCTCACCCCTCTCGCCCGTGATTGAGCCGAGTGCGATGGATGACTACCTTCCGAGAGCACCATTAATCTTCCATCATTAGAGTGCATCGATGGAATGCACC